TTCTATTTACATAAAGATATGAAGATGCTGGACTATCTGAGGAGGACAATATCCATGGTGTTGAGATCTAGGATGTGACAGAAACACAAGGAAAATAAACCAGTTCAGGATTGATTTTATCGTAGTACAAAGCTGAGTCTTTCGCAGCCCTTTTCTGCTACAAACAGGTCCCAGAGAAGCTCACCAAACCAGCAAACCACCAGACACTGGCTCACACAGCCTCCAACCTGAAACCACCTTTGTGTCCCCAGCTGTGCTTGAGGCACACGAAAGGATTGTGAGCTCCCTCAAAGCTCAGCAGAAGTTCAGCACCTTTTGAAACGCATTTCCTCACCTCCCAAATGCCACATGTGCCATTATTCCCAGTGCAAACATGAATGTCAGCACACAGAGCTTTGCAACTTATGTTTGCCTACACTTGAACAAGAGTCAATAACCACCAACAGCAGAGAAATGTGCACAATTCTGGGATAGGCAGGGAAACAGAAGCCTAAACTTCCGCTTGTAGCCTTTGCAGAATAAGTAATTTTTTCAGGAAAATAATAATTCTATTATTATACTATTAAAGAACTGCGATTTCCTGCTCCCATATTTTTGCCCGAGAGCCCCTTAATTTAAAATTGGGAGGGGTGAGGAGGGTTTATATTCTCCATTTCAGGGGAGGCTCCTGCCTTCCTTAGCAGGCTCCTGTCTTTCCAAACCAAGACAGTCACACAGAAGGCAGCAGTGCAGCTGCCCGGAGAGGAGTGCACATCACTGCCATGCCAGCTGATGGCATTCCCCTTTAATATCCACTCTCCTCCAGCTCTGGATTCCCCCCAGGCCCCATCCTGGCAGATATCCCAGGCTGTGAGGAGCTGTCACTCCTCTTGCAGTGGTCATGCAACTGCTCAAAGCCTGACACAGAGCCAGGACACCTCCCTCTCCTGCAGGCACCACTGGGCTCCTCATGAGTCCCAAACATAAGCAGATGTCTCTGGTCTTGTTCAAACTGGAAAACAGGGTCAGACTGCAGTGACACAGCTACAGAGGAGACAGGAATTAAATGATGAAGAGCATTACATCTGAGGGACATTCAACCTGACAGCCAAATCTTTCATGACCCTCTTTCCATGAAATCTATGACAACTGGGTTACTGTTGAATATTCTGGAGGACACCGAGACCACAAATCCTGGCACTGTGGAATAAAGAATATTAATGCAAAATCTATAAAGCTCACCCAGACTAAATGCCTACACAGGGATTTGCCCCAAGCTTCCTCTGCCTTCCAAATGAGAGCAAAATCTTAAACAGGTAACAAGGAGGGTTTAGGGTTTCAATCAGGACTTGTAAATATGAAGATGTTTCAGCTCCTGAGACAATGGATCATTTTCCACCAGTTAGAAGCAAACAAAAGCTGGTGCTGCAGAAGTCAGAACCCCTGAATTCTCTGGCACCTCAGTCCTGGATAAATCAACCTACTCATCTCACACCTCCCAGTCTGGGAAGTGGGGAGACACTTGTTCCATCTATTCCTATCACTGTATCATTCCAGAACACAGTACTGCCTTATGTCCTGGACTTTTCACTTGCATGGTGATAACCACCCCTGAAAAGTCTGGAAAACTGATGAGAAGAGTGGAGAATGGGGCCCATGGCATGCAGTGTTTCCTGGAAAAAGGGCACTGGGCTGTACAGAGGCAGCTCCCCACCTTCAGCCAGGTAGCTGACCTTTGGAGTTAAAGGGAATTTAATCAGTGGGCTGGGACATGGGAGGGGTTTCTGGGGAAGCAGATCAGCAGCCTTGTCTCACGGTGCCTTTCTGTGCTGTTTTCCTGGACACAGACCAGCTCTGTCTTCCCAGAACATCGGGATGCAATCACAGCCCTCTCATAAAGAAAAGATGCAGAGGAAAGCAGAATCAGGGCTTAAAAAACACAGGGTCAAGCGGGGAAACCAGGGAAGCACATGATAAAAGTCTCATTCTGTAGGATCAGACTATTTTCCTTTGTGAATAACTAAAGAACCCTGTTTATCTCTGAAGAAAGCTTACCCACTCCTTCCTCACATGCCTGCCTGCCCCGCTTGGGGGATCACTGCTGTTTGTTTAACACTGACAAAGATGTCCTTGAGATTCCATCCTTTCTGCAGGGTCAGTGAAAAAGTTCACACAAACCCGAGGTTTGGTTAAAAATACGACAAAGCATCCATTCAGCAGCGACAGGAATTCCTGGGTATTTTCAGGCCATGCTGAGCAGGACCACCACACAGAGGCAGTGTTAACCAGGACAGGTGGCCAAGGACTCCCCTCTTGGCAGGGGACAGCTACCCCCAGCCCCACTTCAGCCTGGCAGAGCTGAAGGAAATTTTTTCCAGGGAAAAGAAGATTTTTTCCAGGGAAATCACAGGAAAAGAGCAGGATGATGCTAATATCAGTGAGCAGAAAGAATGTCCACTAACCAGAGGCAATGTTTCTTACCCTTTTCCCAACAAATCAGCAGGTTTTCTCCACAGACAGTCTCCCCAGGAGGTTTCCTGCATGAGCTGAAGGGCTCTGGAAGATGCTGCACCTTTGAAATGGTCATGCTCAACTCAGTTATTTCACAGGTTTATCCCAGAGGAACTGGGGTATTAGCAGAGCTCAACGTTCTGAAACACCAGCAAAGGATTCACACACCAGGAGAGGCTTAGATTAGATACAAGGAGGAATTTATTTTCCAAAAGGGTTGTCAAGCACTGGAACTGAAGTGGTTTTTTGGAGACCTGGTGCTAGGGACATAGCTTAGTAATGGACTCAGTTGTGTCAGGGTAAGTGTTGGACTCAGAAGGCTTTTTCAACCTAGAAGATTCTATGGTTCTGTGTTGTTGGCATCAACACCAGAATTCACCCTCTGAACTTCGCCAGGGATTGGTGGGATATGGGTCAACATCTCAGGAGTGTCAGGTCAATCTATGATGGTTTTATGATAAATGATAATAAAATTTATGAAAATAGAACATTAATTCATATGCGAGGTTTCCTACATTAAAATCATGTTTAATGGGTAATAATTAAATGCAAAGCTAATCACTGATCTACAATTAGACTTCAATCACTGACCACCACCTTGAACAATCTCATACACACAAGAATGGCCCAAAATGGCATCCTTGATAGAGTTTAGCTCTTGCTTCACATCTTTTATGAAGAACAAACACTCTCCCTGACCTCACTGTGAATGGTTGCACAGTAGGAGGGGATGAAAGACTCCAATAAACAGGAAGGTGCTCAGAAATAAAAATAAACCCACAGACTTTGGAATGTCTTCTTTTTCTTTCCCAGATTTCTTCTCCCCATTCTTCAGTCTCATGTCTTACTTGGAAAACTGGAATGAGAAGCAGGGAAGCAACCCTTGAACTGCTCACTACAATTCCAGTAGAGAAGCTGCTGTGAGGAATGAGCACCACCAGGAAAGAAGAAGAGAAGCAAGAAAGAGAAGCAGCCTCAGGGCATCCTGGCAAAGAGAGTCCAGCCCTGCTCAGCCTCATCTGCTGTCCCCTGCCACAGAGGACACAGAACAGCCCCAGATGCATGTGAAGGACATCACATTGGCATCGTGTTTTCTATGGAAAGACACCCAAGTCTGTGCTACCAGAAGATTAACTCCAATCCCAAAAGTGGGCATGGGTGAAGTAAAGGAGTGATTCATCACGCTTAAGGGCAAAAATACTGCATGCATCTGGCTGGAGGCTTCCACTGTCCTCTCCATTACACTTGTCACAGTAAGAGAACAGATGACACTGATGGAAAGTCAGACTGTGAATGGGTTTGTGTTCTTCTCAATTGTTTGCCTACGGCTGTGAACCGATTTAAAAATACATGTAAAGCATAAAACCTCAGAGTAAACCAACTAACAGACCACAGATATAGGTGGTATTAATGATTTGAAATGCTTACTACATTAGTTACAATTCAAAGCAAATGACATATTTGTTTTCCTGTTAAGATGCCAGTAAAAGTGGCAAACAGACACAAGCATTCTTGGTTGCTTACAGATAATAGCTGATCATTTGGCACAGAAAATCACTGGTGGGTAACTGAGGTTCTATACAAGTCAGAGACAAAATCCACTGTGAATTCAGCACAGCCATGCAGACACCAGAGCTGGCATTAACCAATAAAGGAGAACTTCCCACTCTCTCTGTGTAGAACTTGCTGCTAAGGCTTCACCAGAACCAAACTGAAACAGCTGAGGGAGAGGGTGGCAATTCAAAACAGAACAAAGTGTTCCAGATTGCAATGCAAGATGTTTTCTATTACCATCTGTATGGCAGATTATCTTTGTCAAGTGGGCAGTTTGCCTTATCTCTTCCACAATCACTCCTCCCTGGGAGGGGACATCTGCTGATAACAGCTATTGAATGTCACTGCATGACTGATAAGAGCTATAACATCCCATTGGGAGATGTGAGCCCAGGAGGAGGAGCCAAGCATTCCTACCTGGATATAATCTGGAGACTCTGGAACACCAGCACAGCTTCTCCACTGGATTCCCCAGAGGAACAGCAGCTGCCTCTCCTTCCCCTGGATCTTCAGAGGAAGAATCCATCCTTCTCTACAGGATCCCTGCTCCAGCAGAACCACCCCTGACACTGCAGGAGGGCTGAGCCACAATTCCAATGGGACTGCTGCCAACAGCCTGACCCACAGGGTGTCAGGTTGGGTTCTGACTCTGGCAGTGTTGTTCTAGTGTACTGCATTGTTTATTTTATCCTTTTCTTTTTTTCCTTTCCCTATTAAAGAACTGTTATTTCCTGCTCCCATATTTTTGCCTGAGAGCCCCTTAATTTAAAATTTATAGCAATTTGGAGGGGTAGAGAGGTTTTACATTTTCCATTTCAGGGGAGGCTCCTGCCTTCCTTAGCAGACTCCTGTCTTTCCAAACCAAGACACCAAGTTTTGCTCAGACCCCTCTTGGTGGAAGTGTCTCTGCTGGAGGGGCCACCAGCAGCAGGAGTGCAAACACACCCATCCATTACCTTTGGCCGCTTCCATTCCACATTCCCTGCTGCTGTTGAGTCGTAGTACAGGGATTCATCCGAGGCTGGAAACTCAGGGTCCTCAAAGAGGATCCCCTGCTGGAGGCACTGCCCCTTCAGCTCGTGGTACCTCTGATCTCGGAAGAGCTGCACTGATGAGGACATCCTCTGTCTAAATAAGATCAACATTGGACAATACCATGAAGGCTCTTGAAAGTCCATAGCTGATACCACTCTCTGGTCTTGAACAAGAGAGCATGTGACTTGTTCTAAATGAGGTCACTGATTTATTTACAATAAAACAAAAACCCCCAGATTATAAATTAGATTAGGTTAAAGACTAGGAAAGTATAAACCGAAGAAGATCTTATAGATCAGGATCATATTTTTGTCTGAACAGTATTCTTATCAGGAAAGAGACCAGGCCAGGCACAAAAACAACATTTTGCTTTGTCTAATTGATTGGAAAGGTAGCAGAGGAAGGCTTGGCTCTCAGTCTGCACCATGTGTGAAGGGCTGGGCCATCTTTCTGTCCTACATTCTTCTTCTGGTCTCTAAAGCTCAAATTATCTACTGCAAATCTTGTGCCTAAAAAAACCAAAACCAGATTTCCACATTTCTCCATCTTAATTTAAGTGACAATACTTTGGCTTGTACTATTGTCTTTGAACTTTATGTTACTTTTCAGAGAACAGATTTCCCAGAAGTAGAAAATATTTGCAAATAATTGACGAGAACTAAAAGTATCTTAAAAAAACACAACAACAATAAAAAACCCAAACAATGTGTTTCAAACCATAATTCCCAGAATCCTGATTATCAGACTTGGCAGGTTTATGGTCGCGCCCGCAGAACTCAAATAAATTGCTTTAAAACATTTTACAAATGACGAATCAATTACAGAAATCACTCAGGATAGTTTGAAATTTGGAGGACATGAGGGATGCTATCTCTACTTCAAGAGAGAGAGAGGTGAGAGCATCTGAGCTTACCCTGTTTGGAAAGGTCCTTTGTGTCAGTTCCTTTCCTCTTCCTTCTGGACACAGGTTGGAGTTAGAGATGTATCTCCCCTTCCTTGCCTACAGCAATAAAGACAAATGCAGGCTGAATTAACCAACATCCTGCTCTGGAGCATGGCACCACATGGTCCTGGCAGCCACCTACTGTGTCCAGCTGCAGGGAGCTCAGCTGGTGCCCCTTGAGCCACCTGCAGCACAAATTGGATGAGATTCAACAAATCTGCAGGAAACTAAACCAAGCTTTTGCAGTTGTGCAAGTGAGCACAGCGAGAGAAATACAGAAGAGTAATGAGGAACACTCGGAAACGTCAAATTTATCGTGGTCTTTGTTCTTGTGAGTGAAAGCTGTTTGTGGATGCCCCATCCCTGGGAATGTCCCAGGCCAGGCTGGATGGAGCTTGGAGCAACCTGGGATGGTAGAAGGTGGCCCTGCCCAAGGCAGGAGTGGGACTGGATGAGCTTTAAGATCCCTCCCCACCAAAGCCATTTTGGGATGCTATTGCTTTCTGCTTACTTATCTCCCTCAATAAAAACTCTCAAGGCTTTTCACTTGGCAGGTGGCCACCCAAGACAGGGTAAATAGATTTGCTTCCCTGTCACAGACATCTTTTCATGAAAAATCCTTTCCTTAGGATTTTTCCTCCTGAGAAGCTGAGAGACCTCAGGAACAAAATGTAAACAATGGTTATCTGCTGCTGTGGAATGCAACAGGTGCATCTGTGATTGGCTCATGTGGTTGTTTCTAATTAATGGCCAATCACAGTTAGCTAGCTTAGACTCTGTCTGAAACAGAAGCCTTTGTTATTCATTCTTTCTGATTCTATTCTTAGCTAACCTTCTGAGGAGAACCTTTTTTTCTATTCTTTTAGCATAGTTTTAATGTAATATATATCATAAAATAATAAATCAAGCCTTCTGAAACATGAAGTCAGATCTTCATCTCTTCCCTCATCCAAGAACCCCTGTGAACATGGTCATACTTCTCCCCACAAACCAGTTCTTCAAATTCAAGTGTAGAACAACTCGTCAATCTTACAGAGGTACCTCAGGGACCACAACAAGATAGTCTGACTAATTTGGGTGGGATATAGATTATTTCATGATAACTGGCATTCTCAATCATTAAAAATTCCCCATGAGCTATCTAACATTCTAAACCGAGCCTATTTGCTTTTAAAATAGCCCCTGGGTGATGAGGTTTCTGTCACTGCCTAATTCATTGAGACAGGTCTTTCATGACCTCATTCCCCAGCCCTTTCTCTCCACCTATCTGCCAGACAGGAACGTGAGTCCTTCCAGGATTAACACTCCATTCCACAACTGTGACGGTGTTCACAGGGGTCTTATGTTGAAGGAAGAGATGAGGATCTGACTCCATATTTCAGAAGGCTTGATTTATTATTTGATTATACATATTACATTAAAACTATACTAAAAGAATAGAAGAAAAGGCTTCATCTCAGAAGGCTAGCTAAGCTAAGAATAGAAAGGAATGAATAACAAAGGTTTGTGGCTCACACAGAAAGCCATAATGTTTACATTTTGTTCCTGAGGCCTCTCAGCTTCTCAGGAGGAAAAATCCTAAGGAAAGGATTTTTTATAAAAGTTGTCTGCGACACAAAACAGCCTGGAATGCTCTATGGCAATGCACAGAAGGTGGAGATAAAGCACTGCCTCGCCCTGGGCTGCACAGGCAGTGCACAGCAAGAGAAACACCAACAAGGAGGAGGCTTCTCCTGCCAGTCCCTTCTCCTGCCCCTCTCCAGGCTCCCTGTGATATCTGCAGTGTGTTTTAGGGGCTCAGGCTCCCAGGGCTGCTCATCCTGGCTGCTGAATGCTTCACTCCCACCCAGGAGGCACTGAACTGAAGTCTCATCACCATCTGGAGGAACCCACCCACTTTCACAGGAACACAGAGCTGCCCATTTTATACTCAATAAAAAGATCTCTTTCTTGTTGGAAAGCCCTCCATCAAGAATGTCAGTGCAGTTTCTATACGACAGCCTGGTGGTTTGAGTGCTGAGGATGGAGGAGCACAGCTGAGTCCACCTCTCCTGGAGTGTTCACCTACCAGGACATGGCCTGAGGCAGACCTGGCTCCCATTCCAAGGGTTATTTTTGAAGTAGCTCCCATTTTTTGACCCTCAGTTGATGACTGAAGCTCCAAACTAAGAAGCACACACTCCTTCCTCCTTCCTGCAGCTGGGGCACCGGGCAGCAGAGCATCCCCTGCTCCACACCCACAGCTTTACCCTGGCTCACCTGGCACTCCAACCTTGTAGTGCTGAGGAAACACTGCAGGGCTTGGCAGCTGCTCTGCCATGTGACACAGATCAGCTGTGCACAGTGGACTAAGAAACACAGCCCTAAAAATACTGTACCCCAGCCCAGAGACACTGTCGTTCTGCAGAGAGAAGGGACAGAGGAGAAAAGAAGGGGAAAAAATGCTGAAGAGCTCTGCAGGTCACCCAATCCCCTGGGGTATCAGCAGAAGTATGGTAGGTCTCACATTACTGAGCTTTCAACCTCACAGCTTTTAAGTCCTTCTCTGCCTCTCTGTTTTTCCAGAGTATTTCCCATTTTGATTAAGAAAAGGGATTCAGCAGAAGAGTGAAGTGGAGCTGGTGCAGAGTCCCCTCTTCAGCCTGACCACAGAACAATCTCAGTTTTACTTACAGTTTATTATTCTCAGAGATGATTCCTCTGCCAGAGCCAGCCAGAGCACAGCTAAATCCCATTCAGCACTGGGCAAATAGCAGCTCCTGGCCTTAGCAGCAGCCATAAATTAAAGGGACATTCACTTGAATTCCAGATATTCACCAAAGCATTAAGGTAAGCCTCAAGTGTTAAACTTCCCAACAGTGTTTCTTTACACTCACATTTCCCTGTCTTAACCTTTCTCTCCCCCAGCTGCTGCACAGGAGATCCAAACAAACAGCACTGACTGTCCAGACAGGCGTGTGAGGGAGAACTACACCCTCCTTATCCTTGAATTCATGCAATAAACACACAAACCTGAACAGAATTCACCTGCTCTCATCCCAGTTTGGTTACTCTGTGTGACCAAGTGACATGCAGGGTAAAACCCAGGCAGAGCAGTTATTGCAGCTGCTCAGCCCAGCCATCCCCCCCACTCCCATCCTGGCCCAAGGGGCTCAGGAACAGCAGGGCTGGGTTGTTCCTAACCAAACCCAGCAGTTTCAGCCCCAAATCCAAGCAGCTGCAGAGGGCCCTCGGTGCCAGATGAAACTCCTCTGCAAGGAGGAGGCTTGATGTGTTGTAATACATAAATTCTATCACACACCCCACTTTGCTGTTCCAGCTGCAGGACTCCAAGGAATTACCATGCACAGCACCAGGACTAAACGGGCAAAGTGCATTTCCAGGCAGGATTTAAGGTCACAGTTGGACAAAACATTGAAAATGAAACTGCTTCTTCCTGAGAATCCTGAGTTCAGGCCCACATTCCTGCTGGTTCAGGAGCCCCTGCCTGGGAAGGCCATGGAGGGATGCCAGGAATGATGCACACAGCATATTCCATGTTCTGGGGCAGCCTCCCAGGCTGAGAGAGCTGGGGTGCCTCAGCCTGCAGAAGAGAAGGCTCCAGGGAAACCTTAGAGCAGCCTTTCAGTTCCTAAAGGGAGTTTGGAAAAAATGAGGGAGAGCAACTATTCACATGGGCAGAGAGTGATAGGACAAAGGGAAGTGGTTTTAAATTGAAAGAGGGGAGGTTTAGATTAGGATACCAGGAAGAAATTCTTTCCTGAGAACTGGCACAGGTTGCCCAGGGAAGCTGTGGACTCCCCATTCCAGGAAGTGTTCAAGGCCAGGCTGGACTGGACTTTGAGCAGCCTGGAAGATATCCCTGCCCAGGGCGGTGGGATGAGATGAGCTTTCCAACCCAAAGCATTCTGTTATTGTATGAACCCAGTTTGAGGATTATTGTCCATTTGCAAGTACCAAGTTGTCACCTTAGCAGGACTAACAGCCACACCTGGTTCTCAGGTTTCTCTTTTGTACCTGCAATCGTGTGATGGTGTTCACAGGGGTCTTGTGTTGAAGGAAGAGTGTCGAAGACATCTTTTTGTGAAAATCTTTTCTTAAGATTTTTTCTCTTCTGAGAAGCTGAGGCCTCAGAAACAAAATGTAAACGATAGATATCTGCTGCTGTGGAATGCAACAGGTAGATTTTTGATTGGCCCATCTTAGATGTTTGTAATTAATGGCCAATCAAGGCCGAGCTATCTCCGAGAGAGTCTGAGAGAGCTGCCTTTTGTTATCATTCTTTTCTATTCTATCTTAGCTTAGCCTTCTGAGAAGAAACTCTTCTTTCTATTCTTTAGTATAGTTATAATGTAATATACATATATCATAAAATAATAAATCAAGCCTTCTGAAACATAGAGTCAACATTCTCATCTCTTCCCTCATCCAAGAACCCTTGTGATCACCATCACAGAAGAGACAGAGATCTGACTCCAGGTTTCAGAAGGCTTGATTTATTATTTTATGATATATATTACATTAAAACTATACTAAAAGAATAGAAGAAAAGGTTCTCCTCAGAAGGCTAGCTAAGCTAAGAAGAGAATCAGAAAGAATGATAACAAAGGCAGCTCTCAGACTCTCTGTCCAAGCCAGCTGACTGTGATTGTCCATTAATTAGAAACAACCACATGAGACCAATCACAGATGCACCTGTTGCATTCCACAGCAGCAGATAACCATTGTTTACATTTTGTCCCTGAGGCCTCTCAGCTTCTCAGGAGGAAAAATCCTAAGGAAAGGATTTTCATGAAAAGATGTCTGCAATACAGTTTGTGTGCCTGTCTTGACAGCACACAAAAACACCCCAGCCCCAAACTCTGCTCCTTCAACACTGACTCCTCACCAAACCTCAAAGCCACTGTTTGGACTACGAGAGCAAAACAGGGACTCAAGTATTTCACTGTTTGCAAACACAGTTCTGTATTTTCCCAAACATGTCTGTCTCCAGAGTTTTCTTCAGAACAATCAAACCAGTGAATGCCTCCAAAAAGCAGCCCTGCAGCCAAAAGCTTTAAATTAGTCTGAACTGGGTTTCTGTTAAACTAATTAAAGGAACTTCCAGATCTCCAGCTGGAAAAGGTTATTGCTCTTGCTTGCTGTGCAGAGTGATCACAGGTCCTTACAACACAGTGACTTTGCAAATCTGTATTAAGTGCAGGGGAACTTAAAGCAGTTGAAAATCTTCCACTTCATAAACACTGTGGTTTCATGATCTTGGCTATTCCACTGCTACTGCTGCAGTAGAAGCATCGTTTCTGGAGAAATTTACTCATTCAAATTCTTTAAACAGCCCAAGACATTCACTGAGAGGCTTTCTGCTGGACTGGATCTCCTCTCTTTCCCTGCATAAGCCAATAAAAATGTATAAAGTCAGTGTTAGATCCGTGTTGTGTGGATGTGCAATTGCATTAGTAAGAATATATTCAATGTTGATCAAATTTGCTGCACAGGATAATTTAATAGCCCCCTGTCCAGTATAAATGACTGTGATCCAGGGTTCTCAGTAGGTTTGGATGGCAGTGCTCTCCCTGACAGGGTGACACACCAAGTTTATTGTGTGCTCTGGGGATGCCAGGATTGTGCAGCATTAGCTCCTCTTTCATCCAGTATTTGGGGTTTCCAACAAAATAAGTTTAGTTTGACTATAGCCTCTGTAACTCAGGATTTTATATGCATATAAAGGTTTCTCTGTTAGCTCAGCTCAAGAATTAGCTATGGGAAGGAGACAAAAGCATTTGCCTTCTTGCAGAAGCAGGACCATGCCAACCTTGTACTGCTGTGCAGTTTTGCCACACTTAAAATCGAGAAAGAAAACTGCATATTTTCATCTGGGAGTATCCCAGCCCATATCCTATCACTTCTGAGCAGGAATGTGGGGGAGAGCAACTGGACAGCCCATAAGCTGTTTGCTTTCACAGACAGCATCACGGCCTGGCAGAATCAACAGGCTCCAAACCAAAGTTTTTCCACAATAAAATTAATTACAACACTTGTACTGCAACAGCACAGTGCTTAACCAGGTTCTTCTTTCACATCTCACTGGGATAGGAGAGGTTGTGTGGTGTCGCAGACATCTTTTCATGAAAAATCCTTTCTTTAGGATTTTTCCTCCTGAGAAGCTGAGGGGCCATCAGGAACAAAATGTAAACAATGGTTATCTGCTGCTGTGGAATGCAACAGGTGCATCTGTGATTGGCTCATGTGGTTGTTTGTAATTAATGGCCAATCACAGTCAGCTGGCTTGGACAGAGAGCTGAGCCACAAGCCTTTGTTATCGTTCCTTGCTATTCCTAGCTTAGCTAGCCTTCTGATGAAATCCTTTCTTCTATTCTTTTTGTATAGTTTTAATATAATATATATCATAAAATAATAAATCAAGCCTTCTGAAACATGGAGTCAGATCCTCATCTCTTCCCTCATCCAAGAACCCCTGTGAACAGTGTGGTACTTCAGAATTCTGAGAGTCAGAATTCAGATTGCCCTGCAGAGGGTGGGTGCTGGGTCAGGACCAAGCTGACATTTGGTAAGCCCAGGAGTGGAGCAGGAGCTCTGCCAAGAACTGATTTTCACAGCTTGTTGTCTCTCTCCATCTCTCCAGTTCTCAGTGAGATCAAGTGCAAACTCATTCTGACCCTTCAGGATGGGAGTACAGAAGCAAAGAGCTGCTGAGGAAAGCTGCCCTTGCAGGTGACTGTGCCCAAGAGGGAACAGCTGCACCTGGCAGGAGCAGAAACACCCCAAATTTGTAGGGCTGGCTGATGGTCAGGGGGGCATGGGATCCTTTCAGCTTGAGAACGGAGTGATATCAATGTACACCTGTGCTTGTTCAGCAGTACAACGCTGACTTCATGGTCAAAGCCACTCAAAGTCCTGGCAGAACACACTCAGAGGGGATAAACTCTGGCTGGACTCCCTCTCTCCCCTCCTTGCCTTTCCCATGGGAGTTTATCCACAGCAGCTGAAACACTTGAACTGCTCTCTCTCCCCTCAGGCAAGGGCAAAGATTTAAAAAGCAATGGCATTAGCAGCAGAGCAGACTTGTGCCTCCACCTGACTTCCAGGTGAAACCTCCAACAAAATCCTGGAATTCTTAAAGATCACTGCAAGCAGAGACAAAACCCATGGCTCCTTTCAGGATTTTCCAAAGAGCACAGGTGTCCTCATGTTTTACGAAACCTTGTCCTTCAGTGGCTTCCAGTATAGCCTCAAAATCAGACACATTTTCAGTTAACATCAGAGAGGTACAATTCCAGTTAGATTTTTTTTAAAAGTCATTTAGTACAGTAGATGGCAACGGTTACAATTAACATTAATCCAATCAAGTGATCTATAAAAAGCTCTGAAGAAAATGTAAACGGCATTGTCACTTAATTCATTCAAGCCAAGGTTTTGTGCTGAAACCATTGGAAACAGCTTTCTTCAGAATTCCAGTACCTCTCCATTCTGCCTTTTCATAAAAGTTAGTTTAAATAAAGAGGGTAAAAAGAGATTGCAAATTAATCAGTAACTCCTTATCAGGCCACTCCATTATTTTATATATCCACTTATCAATTACTTTAGATACAGTGCAAAAATCTCTCCTTCACAAGAACAACGAAATAAAGTAGGAAAAAAAAAAACCCACAAAAATACAACCTTTGAATTTCACAGTGAAAGAATCCACGGAGAGAACTGACAATATTTTGGAAGATCAGAGACAGGGTGGCAAATGGAATTATATGAGCAGAGATCAAACCACACTTTCTCAGCCTGGCCCCTTTCTTTGGAATAACTGTAAAGGATGCCTGTAGAGAGAAGAGTAGAACTGGTTATCCCAGAAGAAAGGAGAGCACCCACGCTTTGGTAATAAATCCTGCAATAAATTTGGCTCGGAGTTGGCGCAGACTTTCTGAAAGAACTATATATTAAACAAACTGAAGTAATCCAAGGCATTTTCTGCCTGTGTTCACACCGAGCTTTCATTCCTGGTGACAAAGGTGTTAATCAGTAAACACCGGTCAGGCACTCACCTGGCTGGGGCCAGACCCTGCTGCCGGGGCACATCCAACTCCAAAGCAGCTCCTGCAAACAGCGATCCCTCGGCTTCTCAACGAGGAATTCTCTGGGCTGTACCACGATCACATCTCTAGGGGCGTGTGTGTGTTGGGATAACTCTTCCAGGGATGTCCCAGGGAAAGCTCTGAGCTGACCAAAAGTGCAGAGGCTCGTGTGCTCCTGACACACAAACCATCAGCTGTGGCCGTGCCTGGAACTGTGAATGAACTCTTAAAGAAGGAGATAAGGCCAGGCTGTTTGGCAAGAGTTGCAGGGTTTGTTTGGATTTTTTTTTTTTTTTTTTTTCGGTAGGGAAAGCAACAGATTAATGTGCACCGTGAAGAAAAAAAAAGTTACATTCCTTATTAGACTGCACAGCACTCATTCTTTTCTCTCTGTCCTAGTAAAGGAATTGGTATCACTTCATGGGGATAACAAAGTTTAGAACACAGAAAATAATACATTTCTCGGTGCTGTAGGAAAATAAAAAGCAGGACAGAAAGAAATTCTCAACAAGAAATGGTTTTGGAAAAACAAGCTTCTCTCCATACTTTGCTGAGCCTCAATTTCCTCTTGGGTAAATCCTAAACAGCTGGGTTAATTTGACTTGATTTTTTTCTGATTTGAGGACTATAATACCTTTATTTTGCCATTATGTGGCTTTTATTTGTATTTCAGTAAATGTAGTCCCATTTTTGAACAAGCACCATTTCAAAATGCATTACAAAATTTCATCTGTACCATAGTTTTATATATTCTCCCCAGTTTTCTTCCTCCATTTAATCCTCATTTTAGTATAACCGGTCTAAGTTTACAAATAGGTTCATTCCTTCCCCTCAACATTATTATTGAGCAAATTTCCTAGAGGAGATTGGACCTCAGGGGATGAGTTACATCCACAAAGTACTCTGAAGATGATTAAGAAGTATCACAAATTTCTGTACTGCAAGGTTCACCGCAGGACTATTTGCTCTTTTACCCCAATTCCTTTAGAACTCACGCTGAAATTTGGACTGAAAGTCCCTGGAAGCTGCCACTACAGTTTTACCATTTCATGAGTAAGAAATCCTTACAAACTAAAGCCATGTGTTTCCAATTCCTGATTGAGTAAGTAGCCCAGAATTTAAATCATAATAAAAAGCTGATGCCTGTACATTACACGCACACTGTGATTCATTTGCACAGCTGAGGGAAGAACATGAAAACTCCCACAAGAGCACAACAAAATTCCACTCTCTGAGCTGATAATAATATTCACAGCTTATAAGGAGCGTTCTCGCAGTAGCTGCCTTTGCTTTGATCCAGTGCAGAACAAAACCATGAGAACTTTTTGATGTGAGTGGTGTAATCCAAGAATTGGATGGGATTTGTCTGGGCTGAGGAGAAGCTCCTGTTGGAAGTCTTGACAGAAACAGAAATTCCTTTGGAAAGGCAGCAAGATGAGCTACACAGATGGCAACTAATGGGGAAAAGAAAAAAAAAACCTGGAAAAGAGGTCTCAGTTATTGTGAACCATTTAACCTTACAACATCGTACCTGAAATCCTTGAATGAACCCTGCAGCCTTTAGCCTCCTCGATGGATGTGTCACCTCCTCTGGACTGGTTTCCATCCATGACTGTGCTGCATCTCCTGGTGTCCCCAGTTTACTCAGTGCTCTCCTGCCCAGCCTGCAGGCCCTCCCGGAGCAGTGCCCCACCACAGACTTGCTGCTTTCCAAACCTGACTCCTCCTGCGCCCTCAGCAGCAAACCAGAGCCAGCCTGGTTTGTAAAGAGACACCACAGTGCAAGGAACCCCCAGAACTTGCTCCTTCACAAGGTTTTCTACACCTCACATCTGTGTGTTCAGCACCTTGAGCTCAGAGCCCATCACAGCTTCAGAAATTCCTGCCTGTCACCTTGCCAGGTTCTTGTGTCCCACCAGAGATATGTTCATCTATTATTCACTTAATTTCATGGGGCAATTTATTAATAAAGCATGAGGTGGTTTCCAGCAGAGATTCAACTTAAATCCTACATGTTTACTCTACCCTTTCTAATTTAAGCAGTTTGAATAAAGAAAAGCCCGAGAAATCTGAAAACTAAGCAAGATTCACTGAAAATTTTCAGAGCTGTGTGTCCAGTCATGCCTGATTTTGCTCAACAACAGCATTTTGAACCTGGATCGCTTATCCTTCACATTGGAGAATTTTGATAACAGGTTCCATCCTGCTTTGTCCTAAAGCATAAATGACATGAGGAGTAAGGGATCAGTCCCAGACCGGTGGCTTGCTATCACTGAGTTAAAGGAAGACAATCCCTAAAACAAAAATCACAGAAGAGGCTGTGCTTTGCCCCTGTCTACAGCTGTGACAGAGGCTGAATGTGTACAGAGCAGGCTTTATCCCCCAACCACCTTAACCACAATCAGCAGAAAAAATTCTAAAAAGACAAGGCAGCACTACCCTGCAGGGTTTGAGGTGGGGTTTGGAGTTATCTTCCAGGCAGACTGGTCGCAGGGGGAAGGAGGAGCAGGGGGACAGCCCTGGAGCGAGGGAAGGGCCCCGGGATTAATTTCCCTGAAGGACACACGAAACCCCCCCTCCCTCCTTTCCTTCCTCCCTCCTGCGAGCCCGGGGAGGGGGAACGCGGCCGCGAGGTGGCGGCATCAACCAGGGATGGGAACGGCGAGGGATGGGAGAGAAAGACAAGGCGAGGGAGAGGGAGGCAAGGATGGGGAGGGAAAGGCAAGGGAGAGGTGGGACAGGCAAGGGAAGGTACGAGTAGCTAAGGTGTGATAGCTCCCTTGCCTTACCTCGCATATTCTTCCCTTGCTTTGTGTTCCCTTGCCTTACCTGCACCCTTCGCCTTTCTTTGCCAGCCCAGCCCAGCCCAGCCCCACCATTAACTCCACCACTACAGCTGCTCTCCCATCCCAAGCCAGCAGTTATTTCAGCTCCAGACTCACAAGCTTTACTTCACTGCCACCTCAGTTTCCACTCCAGCTCTCCATCTCCCCACTGCTGTCAGGTGAAGCTGCTCTAGGTCCTTGGCAGCCTCTTCATTTTATCTCCAGCCCTTCAGTCCCCACCCTGGCCCTGCCCCACAGGGGTTTCACCCCCAGCCATGCCATGTTTATGTCTTGCCAGCTGAGCTGCCTCAGCCCCAGCTCCTCAGCTTCCCTCTGCCTCCGGCTAAAAGCTGCTCCTGGTTCTCACTGCAGCCCAGGGCTGTTAACAAGGACACAAACCAGTCACTGACATTGCCACTTCAGTATCTCCATGGGCTGTCACACCCATCCCAAACGGGCTCTGCTAATGAGACCTGATCCCAAACACACACACCTTTCCATCTCACCCCAGATGGCAACAGGGGCAAGGAACAGCCACTGTGCTCCCCAAGGTTTCCCATCCCAAAATGTGCCCTTGGGCTGGTTCTGAGCCCCAGGAACGCCCCTGAGAATCCACCTCTGGCTGGGCTGGAAGCCCCTGGGCAGCTCCATCTCCTTCCCTGTGACATTTATTTCAGCTCCATGTGGGTTTGGATCTGCCTCCAGTGCCAAGCCCTTACGTTCCCTGTGGCCCCAGTCCTACAACCTTTATTTCATAAACACTACTCATCTAGTAAAAGAATTAAAAAAAAAATACAGTAAAAATACTCTGTTGCAAAACATTAGTGGAACATAAAAGCAACATAATCACAGAGGAAAACAACTTTATTGCTTATATTTTTAATATTACTTCAAGCTCTACTGGGCCGTATCCCGCAAGCCCCTCATTCAAGGGCAACTCTCCCCACAGAGGCTCTGCACCAGCCTCCAGTGGCACCCAGGGTTAGGCTTCTGAAAACCACAAAGCCCAGAGATCCAGGCACACTGCAGCTGCAAAAGGCATCCCAAGGGGAGCACCGTGGCTGTTCCTTGCCCCTGTTGCTGGCTGGGGTGAGATGGAAAGGTGTGTGTGTTTGGGATCAGGTCTCATTAGCAGAGCCCGTTTGGGATGGGTGTGACAGCCCATGGAGATACTGAAGTGGCAATGTCAGTGACTGGTTTGTGTCCTTGTTAACAGCCCTGGGCTGCAGTGAGAACCAGGAGCAGCTTTTAGCCGGAGGCAGAGGGAAGCTGAGGAGCTGGGGCTGAGGCAGCTCAGCTGGCAAGACATAAACATGGCATGGCTGGGGGTGAAACCCCTGTGGGGCAGGGCCAGGGTGGGGACTGAAGGGCTGGAGATAAAATGAAGAGGCTGCCAAGGACCTAGAGCAGCTTCACCTGACAGCAGTGGGGAGATGGAGTGCAAACTGAGGTGGCAGTGAAGTAAAGCTTGTGAGGCTGGAGCTGGAATGACTGTGGGGTTAGCATGGAGAGCAGCTGTAGAGGTGGAGCTCATGGTGGGGCTGGGCTGGAGCTGTGGCAAAGATCCTGCTGTGAGAACCCACCATCAGCTACCTGAGCCAGTGGGAAGAGGTGGAATGAGCTGAATGGGCAGAGCTGGCAGTGAAATAAAGCTTGTGAGGCTGGGATGTTGTCATTATATTGCAAGGGTTCCATAGTGCTAGTTTCATACCTCCTTGATGTTTCTTGTAGGCAGTGCCTGTAAGCACTGACTGTTCCTGGTCCTCACAGCAGCCAACTAACTCCAGTTCCCACCAATCCACTCTTTTATGACACTGTTCTTATTGGCTACAGCTGTGGCCTGTTCACATCAGGCCTGGTCCTAATCTTTAGTAATTGGTTCAGCTGCAACTCTTTAGGGGATAAGATTGCATTTTATACCACCTTCATTTACCCACACTGTATCCCCCTACACTGGGACAGGGACTAAAGGAGCTGAAATCACCAGTTCTTCCCCACTTCTCTGGCAGTGAGGGCCCTGTGCAGTGGAGCAGGACGGGTGTTTTTGGGGCACACAGGACACATCCCCTGCTGCCATTCGCCCTCTGTGTGGGCAGGCATCAATCAAGCTGAAAAACACACATGAAGAGAAAACTCCCTGAGGAGCTCACAGAGACAGGAGTTCCCTTCCCTTTGAATTGCCATTCGTATTCCGAGTGTTGTGTAAACATTAAATATTTAAAATATTGCCTGTAGCACTCTTGTTTCGCGGTGGGATTTGGATAAAGCCATTCCTGTCTCAGGGTCATGAGAAATGTGCTCAGGCTTAGCGTGTTCCCCTTCTTCATCAGAGGTTCCAGGGCCTCCAGGAGTGCTGCCCCTCTCACACAGCCTGAAATCAGAGCCTTGTTTAATGCTGGCAGGAGCTGTATGGGGTTTGGCTCATGTTTGCCCTGTCATTCCTGGTCTGTGGGATGCTGCTGCTGCAGGGACATTGTCCAAACCTCCCTCAGCATAGGAGCAGCTCTGCACTCCCAAACACAACCCACTGCACCAAGCTTTAGGGTTTTTTTGCAGTGCCCAGGCCATGCTCCCTGCAGTTCTACATCTGCTTTGAGCACTGGGATGTTCCACCTTGGAACGTGCCATTTTTGGTGGTGTGTTGATCATGTAATGACATTTTTTTATTCAGTGAATGTTTGTTCTTCTTGCAGTTTCAGGTGCCAGCTCTGCTCTCACAGTGCTGGTGATTTCTTGTGCTGTTGTAGATTTCCAGGTGAAACTCTTCACATGGAGTCTGAAGGGGTGATTATCCCCATCCTGCTGAAGGAGTGATTGTCCCCATCCTGCTGAAGGTGTGACTGTCCCATCCTGCTGAAATTGTGATTATCCCCATCCTGCTGGTGCCTGGGGACCAAAGAAATTCTAAGCCCATTTTGGGCACTTGCTGTGTTTTTTCTGTGGTCCCAGGTGACACAGAAACCTGTGGCCACATCAAGAGCTAAAATCTCCTCAGTTTTAGCCCCCTGCTCTAAATATTCTTTTCCTAGTTCTGGTGCCTAGCATTTAGATGATCTACTTTTCTGACCAGAAAAGCAGAGTATGGTGAGTCATTTAAAAAAATTAAGGATATTAAGGGCAGGCTTGGTTTTATGCACCTAAGTCTGTGTTAAGGGGACAGAAAGGTGTTTTTTAGTTTCTGTTTTAATGGGGTATGCCTTGTGGGGATGCTGTACTGGCCTGTGTGTGCCGGGAGCCTGTTCCAGGGTACTTTGTCACAAAACGCAGGAATAAGGGAATTGTCCTTTAGGAGGAGAGCACGGGAGGACACGTTTGCCCTTGTCCTCAAGTTCTCCAGCACGTAACTGCATTCCCCCATCTCGTGTCCCCTCCCCACCCAAAGCCTGACCCATTCATTTGCAGAGCTACAAAAGCTTGGCCTCATCTCCTGCACTTGGCTCCTACTCCCGCTGTGTGTGCACAAGCAGTGCCTGGGTGGGCGACCTCATTTGAGAGCTGATTTCATTATAGATCAGCTGTGTTCCTCCCCCCATGGATCTCCCAGTTATCTTCCTCCCTGATGAGGACTTCTTAATTAAAGCATGGACAATTTGTGACAGAATGGCATTTTCCAAAGATTTTCTTTCCTGCTTGCACAAGTGTGTCTCTCTCTCCAGAGGCCAGGCTGGTCATGTGTTAATTTAAAATGAAGGTTTTATTGCTGCACCCTGCTCTGGGTGCTGCTCACTTTTCTAGGCAGCGCTGGAAGAAAC